GAATCTTTAGATGTTGCCTGTATTCTTATATGCGATTGAAATTTGCAACCTATAGCACTCCGCAAATGTCTACAAGAGTAACTTCTCAACATTATTTGGAGTAGACAAATCATCAAAATGCTGTTTTATCAACTTCAGGTGAATTCTTGTTGCAGACGGAAACTTACACAAGATTCAAAGAATATTGTTGTTGTTGCAGATAACTCACACAATACTTGGATAGTAGTACTTGGTAATATCGCTGATAGTAATAACGGAAACTCACACAAAGCTCAAAAAGTGATACTGGTAAGAACACTAGTATTATATCATTTTATTCACGCCAAGATCAACACTTCTGAAATTGAAAAGGTTTTGATTACCATTGAAGTGATTCAAGGTTATCATGTCCCTCATATCTATTTAGAGTTTTCATAGATGATATCAAAAAGTGGTTGGAGGAAGTTGATACTAAAGGTGTCAAGCTTAGAAATTTTGTCAACAAAGTTCTATTATATGCAGATTATATCATATTACTAGCACGTGACGCAATAAATTTATGGTAAATGGTTCATGGTAATAGACCAAGCCTAGGTGATCCAAAGGGTCAAAACGCTAAAAACACAATACAAGCAAAAACCACAAACAAGGAAAAAGACTCCAAAGTTCAATCTCTAGCTAGTGTCAAGAGCACTAGAACGGTAACTAATAATGTCCCTAATATAACAACCTAAATCAAAAGAAACTAATTGTAATAAAAAATAGAATTTCTCCACATCTATATTATGAGCAAGCCTGATGTCTTTGTACCTGAAATAAGTAACAAATACATGCTCTTCATGTATTTGTTACAATGAAGAGCATGTACCCACCGTCACATAATTTACAGATACATTCACTCCTATCAATATTAAGCCAACGTCCTTCCTCAACTCCAAGCTTATGCGGTCCTGTTCTATGCCTAGCAATAATATGACATAAGCACGTAGAGATTCCTACAAGTAGGTGATTTTGTTCACAATAAAAAAACATAGAATTCACATGAAGTTGATAAAACTGCATCTTGGCGCCGCACTTGCTCCAAATAATGTTCAGAAACTCCTCATTTAGACGTTCACGTACTGTATAGATTGCAATTTCCAATCGCGTTCTGCCACATTCCACCTCAAAGACCAAGTCACATCCGCTAATCATCCTTTGGCACGTGTGGCATTCAAAGCTTGAAGAGAAAGACAAGAAGCATCAAGAGATCTCACCCTTCTGATGTAAGTGATGATCAAGTATAGAGCTTAAGCCTCTAGAAGTAAATAATATGTTTCCGCAAGAAGAATAGCATATGGAGTTTGATTTTTCACACTCAATTCTTCTTGTAGAAATATCTTCTGCAACCTCTCCACACGCTCCCAACATGTCTTCTTACAACAAGAACTCCACACTTGGATTTCATATAATACTACCGGTAACACCAAACTTTTGAATAAAATTTTCTAAAGACTCCAAGACGCTAGATGAGCACTTCTACACCAATTTAACAATGAATATATAGCTTTGTAACCAACTTCTACTCTCTTTTGCACGCAAAGTGCTCAACTATAACCATTAGAAAAATCAATGCCTAGATATTTATAACTCTTCACCTCTTATAATTATAGATCCTTGTAATAGAATGAGAACTTGGATCTAATGCTCACTATCATGACTTTAGATTTCTCCATATTTATCTCCATTTGATTCCGAGTACAAAAGCTAGCCAAAGTGTATAGGTGTTTTTGTAAACTAATTGCATCACTTGCTAGTAATATGATATCATCTGCAATTCAATAAAAACAAGAGAGTTTTGATAATAAAGTTTTCAAGCTTAACACCTTCGCTATCACATGCCTCCAACCACTCTTCGATATCATCTATAAAAACTCTGAATAGAGTAAAAGAGAGAGTACAACTTTGAATCACTCTAATGGTACTCAAAACCTCTTCAGTGTTGATCTTGGCTCAAACAGAATGGTATAACGTGGCCAGAGCTGCTAGAAGATCTGATGGTTCTCCAATGACTTGCAATCTTTTCCATAATAGCTCAAAAGCTACAATGTCAAAAGCTTTCTTAGAATCAATGAAGGCGCAAAACAAAGCTTTCATATTGATTTTTGACTTCTTGCATAAAACACGCATCCAAGATATGGTCAATGGTGTTGTATGTAGGGCAAAAACCTGCTTGAAATCTTGCTCTATTTTGATGAGATTCAGTTCATGTGCTCAACTTTGACTCCACCAATTTGCCAAACAACTTGGCAAAAACACAACTCACCATGAAAGCGCGATAGTTTGTCACCTCTCTGTTAGTTGTTTACTTGTTGTATGTATATGTCGCTACTATGATGTACGTCGGATCAAGTCTCAAAGAAGTGTGGATCAAAAGGTTTTGAAAATGTAGCATGTAATGCTCTTTCTTACTAAGATCTAAACGATATTTGGAAGAAGCTAAAATAGAATGGCATGTAGAGAGAGATATTGTTTTTGACAACAAGAGATTAAATAAGAGAGATGCATGATTTGATTCTTGTTGAGATTCTAGAATATCAAATTTTGAAATAAGAGAGCTACTAGTGGCCAAAGGATAGAAGATAATCAATGGTGCTAACACATGTAGAAGAAAAACACATCTTGACCGACAATCAGAGCGGGGAAGTTGTGAGAGAAGCCAAGAAAGAGCGACTCAGGACTGACGACAGCAAAGAGACGAACTATCGGATCGGAGTCTCGACTGGAACACGAGTTTTAGTAGGTGATTATCCAGACCAAGACCTTCTTTCAAACTTACTTCGATCTACACGATCGAATCGAAACTGAAATGCTAGAATACAACGAAAGGAATCTCTGGACAAGCTGCTATGATTGGTTGATCCAGACGGACTTGATCACCATGGAGTGATAAACCAATCACAGTCTCTTATCAAACCAAAGGCAGTGAACCATGCAGCTTGCCAAATTAAAGTACAGTTGTCAACCTGCTCAGGCAACTGATGAAGTAGCAGGGAGATTGTCTTGTCCTGTCCAAAGATGTAACGCCCAGTCATGCCCAGCTATGTACCGAAGGACACGATGGAGTCAGACTGTGATGAATCATCTCCATGCAGAACATGGCTACCTTCAATTTGCCGGTTTTATATCTGATTTCATGCGATGTTGTTACATATTCTTGGCACTGATAGAACCGAGAGAAACGGGAAAGGAGGAAATTACATTACATTCTTGCATTACATATGAATTAAGATGAAAGTGTAAAAAAATGTGTATAATATTTCAAAATAATAATAATCATAAGATGTTAAATCTAATCTACAATAAAGTTTATATCTTAAATTTCAGTATACTCGTTGTGATTTATGAATAATGATTTTGAATCTCGGTAGATGCAATTGTTAGATTTATTAATAATATATACAAATTTTTCAATATAGGAAAATCGAAGAAATTTAGTTGAAAGTAGATGTACAAAATGAATACATGTGTTTTTTAATAAATCATAAAAAGCTTTCAGTTTGAAAAAAATGTTAAATAAATGTAAGGAAGACTCTGTAATATTGATTATTGCAAAAATAATTTATCTTTTATTTAAATTTCATGTCATTAAAAATGAAAAAATAATTTACAATAAAATTTGTAATTTTTTCTTCATTGATTACTGGAAATAATAATCATAATAAAGTAATTAAAAATTACTCCACCTTTAATATCATACATTTTTTTGGTTCGTGGAATATTCAGGTGTGAAGATTCTCTTATCTCAGCACACATATTGGATGTTGCGCAGGCTTCTACAGTTTTGAACACAAAACTCAACCTCATTTTTTCAATCTAAAATTAGTTAATTTGTACATTAATGACCTTTTGCAGGTTTTAAGTTCTTAACTCGCTGTTTAGAGTTTTCAAATGTAACTTATATCAACTAGAGAATAAAGTACCACTCATCAAAGATTTGCCAAAAATGATTTTTGTTGATATATTTTCCAATAGAAAATATTTATACATCAAATAAATAAAATAAATCTAGCAGATGATTTTTCTTCTGTGTCTGATCTAACACAAATGTTCTGCATGAGAGAAAATATTTTCTCTCACGAAAATCTTACAACTAGATCTATTTTTATTTATTTTCAAAAATGCTAAGATAACTTTTCTTCAATATTAGAATTAAAAATTCTAATATCGATGTTCAGCATCTAGACTATGTCTAGACGAAAGTCTATACAAAGCATAATGTATTTTTCAACAAAAATCAATTTCATCTATACTAAGAACCTTACCATATTCCCATCTCCAGCTGTGGGGTGGGCTATCCCAATGGTAAATGGTAGGGGGTTCAGGGATTTTGCTAGGAATCACCGCAGAAGGTTCATCGTCAACCTTCACTCCACTAAAACAAGAAAAAAATTTCTTTATTTTGTTCCAAAAATTCTTCATCTTGTTTGGAACCTGCATAGCAACAAACCAAGTGAAGAAAACATTAGATTTAATGTAAATTTTATATAAAAAAACCAAATGAAAAAATCATTAGATTTAATGTTAATTTTATATTAAAAAAAATATTATTACAAATGATTACAGGACACCATGTATTGATCATCAATGTCAATATACTATTGAATGTATTTCAAGGCTCACTTACAGAAGTAGGAGATAGGGTACTAGCGGTGATCCGTCGCGGTTCGGGCAAACTCAAACTCGACTTAGTCAAACTCAGGTGATGTGCTTTGGCCACACACAGGTTCAGTTTAGTTCTCATTCGGCGCATTCACGAAAACCCACTGATTGTACGATCCGTCGCGGGTCGGGCAAACTCAAACTCGACTTAGTCAAACTCGGTCAAACTCAGGTGATGTGCTTTGGCCACACACAGGTTCAGTTCAATTCTCATTCGGCGCATTCACGAAAACCCACCGATTGTCCGATCGATCACTTGTGCAGCTTCATGCGTGTGCGGGAGGAATGTGGCGGTAGCCGGAGCCAGGCTTTGGCAATGTTCTTTCCACTCACGGTCAGGCCACATGGCGGATTAGGCAATCACAGCGCAGAATGGAGAGACTGTCGCCAGGGACATTCGAGGCGCTGGCGGTACTTTGATTGCGGCGGCCCTTGACATAATGTCAGAGCTGATGGCTGTTGTCGTTGGCCTCATGTGGATTTAGCTTTCTTAAGCGTAGAACACATCATGAGAGATGTGAAAGGAGGCTGGTTTGTCGTCGTTACCGCGAGAGGACCACCCTGAGGCGTAAGACCATCGTTCCGTTCGCGACCCGTCGGAGCTTCGAGGGGAAAATTCTGCGCGCGACATCTCAAAGCGTCGTTCGACTGGTGCGCTTGCGTATTGCGAATTGTTCCTGTGTTCGAATACACGAGTACTGCCGAGCTGTGCGACGATAGGCGGTGATTAGATTAGTGATAATCTGCCTTTGTCACCTCTGGACTCCGAATGTAGTTCTCAAGTCGCCACCATATCTTGTACTCGCAGGCATGGTCATAAAAGTTGTCGTCGTTACCGCGAGAAGACCACCCTGGGGCGTAAGACCATTGTTCCGTTCTGCTCTTCGCGACCCGTCGGAGCTTCGAGGGGAAAATTCTACGCGCGACACCTCAAAGTGTTGTTCTACTGGTGCGCTTGCGAATTGCGAATTGTTCCTGTGTTCGAATACACGAGTACTGCCGAGCTGTGCGACGATCGGCGGCGGGGCCGATTGGTTCCGCTCGATGCGGCTTCTACTCAGAGCAAGTGCCCTAGAGTTTTCTACGTGTGCTCGTTTGGCAAGTTCGGACAGCAGAGGCGAGTATCGTGGAGTGGAATCCCCTGCCGAGGAAATCGAGTCGGACGCCGTAATGGTGAGCTTTGACTTTTCTGCGTTTTTTGTTTCGCACTCGAGACGGAGCTGGAATCGAGAAAGTGTGCCCAGCCCAGAGCTGAAGGTGACAGTACACTCTGCAGTCAGTAGAATTTGTAACTCATATCCGTTGGAAGATCGGGATCATCCGTTGGCTAATTTGAATTTCAATTTGTTGCCGGTGTGCAGTCAGAAAACATGTCAGCCTTATAAAAAACTTGTCTCGTATCCAGGTGGTTATTGTAAACTCTTCCAAATGACTTCTGTTTGTGGAAGAAGAAAAGACCATTCGATCCAAATCAATCCTTGACAAAGGCGAAGGAGCTTGTGAGCGCTAGGTTGGGGCTTCCCACGATCTCCGGGCAGTGCACTACTTGTACTGCAACTTCTGTTGATAAATGCCAAGGTTTGTTTATACGTTTTGACTGTTTAGACGTTGTTTCGACTTTGTTGACGCTAGCATTTCAACAAGCATTTGTTTGAGATACTGGATGTTGGAATCTTGCGATGCTTCGGTATGTTTAAGTTCTAAGTTCGACTAATTATTTTAATAGAAGGCTACTTATTCAATTACCTTGATCCGGTTTTTTTCCACCCATATGATTTTCCTCTACTGTACGTGTTCTCCGTTTTCTGCACAATTGTCTTGCAGTCATGCTCTTCCATTAGTTTCGGTTCTGAAGGAATTAGTGTTCTGAAAGATGGAATTATAATCTCAAAACCTACATACAGTGTCTGGTGATCTTGATTTGATACATAAATAGTTCAAACCTGCAAGTGTTCCGATACTTGTATACTTGTTTTCATACTAATCACCGTTGACGTTACTCTGTTCATATCCTCAATTCTCGCGGGCAGAGTACGAGTGAGTTACTTCTAACATTCTTCAGTGTCACACAAGTTTTGATGGATTGCCGTTAGTATATAGAGACATCACTTGATCGTCATCATCATTGATCAGACAACTTGTATATGGACGTGTTTCTTCTCCTGCAGGGCACTTCGGACACGTGTTATTGCCAACCCCAATTTTACACCCTAATCACGTGGGAAGACTCATTCGCTTGCTCAGAAAAGTCTGTCTCAATTGCGGGAAACTCAAGAAGAAGGTAATGCCCTGGCTATTGCCCCTTCATAAGGACAGTAACTTAGTATTCTTCAAAATTTTAGCTATCCAAGCTATGCGTATGCACCTTTCACGTGTATTGTTTGAGTTTGACTAGAATACAAGTAGGCAAATTTGGACGACGTTAAAGCCAGTTCACACTCATGTACTCAACTGGCTTCTGGTTAATGAATTCGCAGCCAGTTGGGAGGACAAGAACAAGTGCAAATGAGCAGACCTTGAAGAAAGGAAAGAAGAACGGAGGTCCGAAGAAAACGAAGTCCTTGAGTGAAGACCCCATTCTCAGTAATGGGACCTCAAGAAGAAAGCGGAAGTTTTCATCATTCATAGATGATGTGTGTTTCTGAGTGTCAATATCTTCGTCTTTATGTCTGATGTTCTTTTAGAAAGGCTTGACTGATTCTGTTGTATATATTTGCATCACGCATAGACCATGTTTTCCTAAGCAGTAGGGCTTTATTAGTGATAATCTGCCTTTGTCACCTCCTGGACTCCGAATGTAGTTCTGAAGTCGCCACCATATCTTGTACTCGCAGGCATGGTCATGAAGCTATCTCAAACAATATCTGATCTCTCAAACTGCGCTGGCACCTCCGTATTCTGATTTCGAATCGTTCTATGTGGTGTAGGAGGCAGAAGCATCAGAGGTGATAGTTTTATCCTCAGAGGACGAGGAGCTTTCGAGCAATGGAAGGAAACAGCAGAAAAGTCCTGATTCTATCGTAGAAGAAGATATCTTAGGAGGAAAAGCTTCAACGTCATCAGCGAAGCGGAGCTGGAACGGGAAACGAAAAAATCAAGCAGATACTTCGGAGACTAATTCGACGACCACCACACCAACGGTTGTGGATCTCACAGATATGCTGGTGTGCGTGAAAAAATCAAAAAAGCCGAAGGTATGTCTTTGTATCTCTACCTGTTGAATCTATGTATTATAGATTAGATGTGTTCTTTTAGTCTAATGTCTTTGTACGAAGTACTTTTTAAGCAGAAAGGAAACTTTCTAGTTAGGTTTGTGTTGTGTCAGTCATGAGTCTGATCCTTTACGGTTCGTTTTAATTTGTAGGCCCTCAAGATTATAAGGAAAATTCCTGTTGGCACCTTAGCTAAACTTGGAATGCAGCTGGATATGGCACATCCTGAAGCGTTGATTGTGGAGTGCCTACCTGTTCCCCCAAACTGCTCTAGATTGCAAGAGGATCCCTTTTCAACAGGTGGAACGAATATTGGCTTCAAGATAGGCGTAAGTTTTTTTGTGAAGTACATCTTACATATTACGATGGACTTCAAGATACGTGACCATTATAAATGCATGATTAAGCATTTATGATGTGAATTCCATTTCAAGTTTGAGTTTTGAAACAGCATCTGTAAAAACTTGCTTCTATTATGCTTGCAGTTTGACGATATCTAGAAAACAAAAGTTAAACCCGTGGAATTTACATTTGGATGACCGGTGCAGGTAAAGTCAAGTTTCATTAACTGAGAGCCACTGGCAAGCTAGTAACGCATCGAGCATTCCATAAATCAAATGAAAATTCCATTAGAACCTACCTAATACACACGAGATTTTCGTAGCCGGGGCATCAGAACACGGACACGCGAAACGTTGCAGTCTCTTTGACAGAATAAAATCAGAACAAACAATTTTCAAAGACGGCGAATGACAGCGGACCAAGTGTAGGCATCTCTAAGAATCCCAAAAAATTGCACACTTACGACGACAATTTGTATCCCTCGAAATTCGACAACTAACATGGTGACTCTACGAGCGCAAATACTACTTCCACCCAATTCTCGATACCTGAGCAGCGAAGAATGGCGCTATTGCGAGCCGATGGGGGTCAGTGCCGCCGGAACGACTGCCTTCGACCGTAACGCAACAGTATGAAGAATTAGCTAACGCCCGATGCGAGAGAACGTGCTCTTTAATCTTTCCGCTGCTTTCCACCCGCAGCGTGCAATCTGACAAATTACCTCCACGCTTTCCGACGTTCGCCTGTCACGGAGTGCCGTGTGTGATCTGCATTGTTGTACTGTACCTCGAGGCCTAGTTTGGGGTCAAGAAACCACGCTCTTGTACTCTACTGTAGTCTGGAACTACGCCTGCAAAGAAGACCGAGACCACAGTGCACAGTTCGCCCCCACCCTACCACAAATCAGCGAAGATGGAGGTCCCGCAGTAGGTCCATTATAGACACCTTCTACTCAGAATCAGACATGTATCTCACTACATCCAATCCCCTCGCCCACGCCGTCCTCCGTGCAGTCTACATCGTGGGTAGTCCCGATGCGTCCAAAACTATCTATTATTCATTGTTTCTCCTCGTGTTAAATGCAGAAAGAGAAGGCGAGGAACGAACTAACGTAAATAATCACCGAATACCACTAGTCGTTACAATATCCAACCCATTTTGGTGGAAGTTCAATCATCGCGAGTGAAAGAAATAAGTCTTCGTATAAAGTGGAACACCGTACCGAAAACCTCTACATAACTACAAAGCAATGGTAAGTAGCTTGTCTCATTTTGTTACATGTGACAGTGTAACCTTTGATACCTCCGGTTTTAAAATCTCAATGTAATGTAAATCCAAAGTCTATCATTTACATTTTGTTCATGTAGTTCACTAAAGTCTTCAATGCATTTAAAACGATATGGCATGAACTACCAAATTGTACATTATCGAAAACATAAAATTACTTGATGGTAGCCATTGTAAATACAAATAGGTAACTCTGACCCATCACGTATTGTTGATCATATGGTAGATTTGCACGGCACACGTCAGTTATATTTTACTATCGAACAACGGAGCAGAGTAGAAACAAGCATCCGCTAAGCGGAAGATGATGATGAAGAGGAGTACCGAGTAGAAATACATCGGATGATGAGTATAGGTAACGTATCAAAGAAACATTTTTTTCTAGTGAAAAGAAAGATTGCATGAGTTGTTGAATTTTGAATTCCTTCAGCAAAAATAAAATGAGAAAGTCCGACGAGTGCATGCGCATTAGATGACTCATTTGCATTTGTTGAATTCTGAATTTAGCTCAATTGAATCATAGTAGAAGTCGTTCATTATGTTTAAATCTATCATTGATGTTGGCATCTCTTGACTATTCCATCATTCATAGAAATGCATATGATGGTCATAAATTTATGAATGTCATGATGTTTCTTTACACAACTAATGTTTTGTTCAACATAAAAATCATCAAAAGAATTAAATTGTCAATTTTGATAGAAAATATTCGGAAGCGGTTCAAAATGAGGCTCAACATAAAAGATTATGATATCACTTTGACAACTTTCAGTAATTCAATAGATGTTTTAATCTTGGAGTGTGATAAAAGTCATAGCATAACATAAATTCATGACTAATTTTGCAAAACAATTACATTGTGAGCGTCTATTGATATGATTCAATAAGTCAAACACCTTTGATTAGAATAGGTAAAGTTGTAATAAATGTTTGAGGAGAATAACACAAGAAAGAGCAACATCACGCAGAGCTTGGTGCATTGCATTGCATTGCCTTTTGACCCTTTGGGTCCCCCGGGCTTGATCTATTACCATTTACCATTTACCATAACTTCTTGGTGCATTGGCACATGATTCAGCTACTTCATATTCACTTGTCATTTGGACATCTACAAGTTCACATATCTCGATTATTAGTAGATGGAAAAAATGCATATTTGAGAAGATTGGAAAAGCCGGCGTCGCGTGGCATGTACGGAGAAAGTGGCAGAAAAACCTCAGTGTCATCCGATGAGAGTACTAAAACTCCTGGTGAAGTGAGTTCAGAATCTCCTTTTGAGTTTACTGCCGCCATAGAAAAAAATCATATTGAAGGACTTGATCACAAAGTTTTACTAATCGATCGTTCACGCAATAGCAGCGAGTGCACAGAAAAATTTTCTCCTTAACATCAAATAGTCTTTGCGGTTCCTCAATCCTCCACAATAAGATATAGGACACGTACGACTTCTAAGAAACATGAAACAGCTTGACTAAAATAGCCAAAGAACAACTGCTTGAAAGTTGCACGGTTTCAAGGTAGGAAGTTAGAATTCCCCTTATTTGTTGTATTTGAATGCGATTTTGTTTAGATTCGATTCAAAATCAAAATCGGGTTGCTCATCAAAAAACGATCTCGTGTACAATGCTTCAAAATTTTCACTCATATTTGTTTCAATTTTCTTCGGCTCAAGCTCTAGTGGTGGAATTTGGACCCAGCTATCATCGTTCAAACCCGTGCAAAATGCTTCAAAATATTCAATAAAATGTTTTTCAGTTTCCATTGGCTCAGGCTGTAACACAACATTATAAGTAGATTCAATATTCTTGTTAATAGTGAAGTTGCGAGTAGTAGCATTAATAGAGGTATGATGTTGTTTCACCAAGATAATATGAAACCCTAAAAGTCTAATTCAATGGCAATCTACCAGAATTCCTAGTGCAGCTTGTGATTTTAAATGCATTGTGGGGGATTATATTCTTGCCATTCAGTAATTGGACTTGTTCAATTTTGCCATTCAAAATTCATGTGTATTATTTTGAGATTTGTAATCTCCGGCCTAACTCTCACTTATCTCATATGGCTTTGCAGTAGCTCATCGTGGTTCTAGAAGACTAGCATTATCCCTCATGTTTGTGTTTCAAACACACTCTCACATAATATGTCAATTTATCACTCCAATTCACACACACATTGACAATCTAAGATTTTGAAAGTCGTCACTTTTTCATATATGAAAAAAGCTTCTACACATGAATACTCCAAACTTTTCTTCGAATCTCTTTCCTACTTCTCTATATATACTACTTCAAAAGTTATCATAATAACAAATGATAATTTTTATCTAACTTACTTTTACAAAAATAAATTTCAGTAAGTTTGACTAGTTACCAATACATAGCAACATATCATTGGCACCCTTAAACCTTCTAGATGTTTACTAATCCCTAGATTGAGGTGTGACATGCCATTTGTGACTTTCCAACTTCTAGAACCTCCACTTGCCACTAAGTCAACATTAGACTCCAGCAACTACAACACTTGAGCAATTTGACCTCCCTGGCATTACATTTGTGCAAAATCAGCCAAGATGTAGTTCACATGCTTTACTCATCTTCCTTACTGAATCTAACCGACCTTCGTTGTAAGTCAACTAAAGAACGAATAAAGGTTCAAGAATGGACTACGGCAAGTAGTGTCTAGTGAAAGAGATGTTAATTCATAACTTCAATTTTTCAACAAGCTGAAGGAAGAGTTTGAGTAGCATAAGGAGATCTTTGAGATGGAGCGAGTCGTGGGAGAGAAGAAGAGAGAATTAAAGCATGGGAAGATATGCTATGGGTCAAAGAAAAAGTACTGCCACGATAGTAGTTCTCATTAAGGAATATCTTTGAGGAGGAGCGAGTCGTGAAAGAGAAGAAGAGATAATTAAAGCATGGAAAGTCATAGGCTACGAGTTAAAAATATTCTCATTAAGGGATATTGAAAGCCGATTACAAGAAGAATATGATGGATCTTGATATGATGGATCTTACAATTGCAAGTACGTGTGGAGTAAATAAGCATGGACAATGGTGCAAAGTAACAAACAGCCAAATAACTATGAGATCCTCCAGCCAATCCAAGACGAAGCCAATGATATTGACCTCCAAAATCCTAAACTTCTAGATGTATGAGAGATAAAAATTGAGATTTTATGAAAGTAGTAATACCCTTGTAAACTCTTCCTGCTCGTTGACTTCTATGATTCCAAGTGGATTTCACACCAAGTAAAGCCTGATATCTCTCCAACAGTGTTGCTCTCATGTTTACTTGTCTCCACAATGTTGATGATGTCCGCCATCTTTCAAATTGGATCAGCACTCACATGCTTTGTTGTATAAAGATATCTTACATTTCACATTAACACCCTCAAGCTCTTGGATTGCTAGGTTGATGGTTGTCTTTTCCATTGAGTGACAATTGCTTGTCCATCACGGAGATAAGCAAAAAATCCTACATATTGAGCTTTTTTTACTTTTGATAACTCATTTCTCCTTGACTCTACTTGTAGAGGTGTAAGATCAAGATCTAATCAAATTCTACGTCCCTTGATAACGGATTTGTTAGATAAAGCCGTATCACGTTGAGTTTGGTCATTAAACTTAACTATGATGGCATGATGTTGGATTCATATGCTTCCAATGCGAAAAGCAGATATGAGCAGAAAAGCATATATGAGTAGACTTGGTGGCTTCAGCATAAGATTTCATCTTCATCGATAAACTTTCAAACACTTCATGCAATCTAGGAATAGCAACAGTGGAAGCTTGAGAATCAATTTTCTCGTGAATGTCCTCAACTTGTTCAGAAATATCAACCATGATCTTTTCAAAACTATTTTGAAAGAGCTTCAACTTCCAAAATTCATATTGAGCAGCAATTAAAGTAGCATTTTGTATCTTGAATTCTTCATGGAGTGATTTCAACTCTCTTAAAATTGTTTGGAGAAAATTGAGTATCAAATTGTCTTGAAAAGTCATCGTGTAAATGATCTCAAAAAATTGAGACTCAAAGATGTCTCAACTTTGTCTTAAGCCTGCGTTTGATCTGAGATTTTGCAAGCTTATGCGTCCTGCCCAACTTCAAGCTCCTACAAAATTTCAGATCCAATGTATACTCCAAGCCAAAGTTACCGCCCCTGCAAGATTTGGCCCTCCCCTCTCAAAAACTCAAACCTCAATGATGTCTCAACTTCGTCCTTGGAATTGCGTTCAATTTGGGATTTTGCATGTTCATGCACCCTGCCCAACTTCAAAGTCTTACAAAGTTTCAGGTCTAGTGCACATCCAAGCTTGAAGAAACAGCTTACTTAAAAATCAACTCTCTTCCACTCAAATCTTGAAATTTGAAACTCAACATTCAATGCACTCTGTTTTGGAACTTCCGTTGAATCTAAAAATTTGCAGCCTATAATTTCTTGCCTATCCCCACAAAATTTCAAGCCCCGGTCACAATCTATCCCAAAGTTACGGCCCCTGCAAGATTTGGCGTTTCCCTCTCAAAAACTCAAACATCAAAGATGTCTTAACTTTGTACTTGAAATTGCCTTTGGTTTGAGATTTTGCGTTCGTGCGCTCTGGTCTATTTCAAGCTCCTACAAAGTTTCAGGTCCAATGCACATCCAAGCATAAAGAAACAGCTCCCGTAAAAATTGACTCTCTTCCCCTCAAATCTTGAAACTCGAAGCTCAAAATTCAAAATTTGATGCAGTCTATATAGAAAACACCTATACACTTTGGCTAAATTTTTTACCTATATCAGATGGAGTAAAAAATGAAATGGCTAAAGTCATGATAGTGGCCACTAGATCCAATTTCTACTTTTATTACAAGAATATACAATTAAAAGAGGGAAAAAGTTATAAATATCTAGGCATTGATTTTTCCAATGATTATAGTTGGGCACTTTGCGTGCAAAAGAGAGTAAAAGGTGATTAGAAAGCTCTATATTCATTATAAAATTGGTGTGGAAGAGCTACTCTTGTGTCTTGAAGTTTTAGACATTTTTTATGTAGAAGCTTAGTGTTGCCGGTAGTATTATATGGAACCCAAGAGAAGGGTCTTGATTGTAAGAAGACTGGTTGGGAGCAAATGAAGAGTATGTAAAAGATCTTTCTACAAGAAGAATTGGAGATAAGGCATCAAACTTCATAAGCTATTCTTCTTGCCTAACATGTTGTATTCCTCTAAAGGCTAAAGTTCTATACTTGACCATCACTTACATCAGACATGTGAGATTTCTAGATGTTTTTCGCCTTTCTTTTCAAGCTTTGCGTACCATATGTTCCAAGGTATGGTTATTGGATGTGGTAACTTGGTCTTTGAGGTGGAATGTGGTGGAACGCAATTGGAATCTGCAAACTATGGCACTCCACGAACGTCTACAAGAGGACTTTCTTAACCTTATTTGAGGCAAGTGAGGCATCAAGATGCAGTTTGTTTTATTTATTTATTTATTTACCATTTACCATTATCAACTTCATGTGAATTCTATGCTTTTTTTATTGCATGACTACCTACTTACAGTAATCTCTATGTCCTTACATCTTATTATCGCTAAGCATAGAACTAGATCTCATAGGCTTAAAATTGAGGAATTACATTGGTTTAATATTGATGGTAGTGAACAAATTTGTAAATTATGTGACAATAGGTATATTGAGGATGAAGAACATGTATTTGATACTTGTCTTAGATAGATGTGAAAATTTTATATTTTTTTATAACCGGTAGTTTTTTTTGGTTTAGGTTGTTATATTAGAGACATTATTAGTTAGTGTTATAGTGCTCATGGTATTAGTTAGGGATTGATCTTTTTGGGATCTTTTTCCTTGTTTGTGATTTTTTGTTTGTATTGTGTTTTTTAGTCTTTTGACCTTTTTGATCCACGGGCTTGATCTAATACCATAAATCATATATCATTAGAAATATCAATGCCTAGATATGTATAACTTTTCACCTCTTCTAATTGTAGATCCTTTTAATGGAAGAATAACTTGGATTTAATGCCCATTATCATGACTTTAGACTCTCTAAATTAATCTCCATTTGATTCTCGTTACAAAATATAGCTAAAGTGTATAGATGTGTATGTAAGTTAATCGCATCGCGTGCTAATGTTGATATCATCTACATACAATAGAGCTTTGATGACAAAATTTTCAGGTTTGACACCTTCACTATCACATGTCTTCAACCACTCTTTAATATCACCTATAAAAGTTCCAAATAGAGTAGGAGAGAGAGTACAACCTTGAATCACTCCAATGGTTCTCAAAAATTTTGCCTACACGGAATGATATAACGTGGCAACGGCTGCAAGAAGATCTAGTGGTACTCCAATGGCTTGCAATCTTTCCCATAAGAGCTCACGAGATGCAATGTCAAAATTTTTTCTAAAACTGATGAAGGCGCAAAACAAAGCTTTTTCATTGCCCTTAGATTTCTCCTATAAAACACAGAACCCCAAGGTATAATCAATGGTTTTGTATGTAAGTCAAAAACCTGCTTGGAACCGCGATCTCTTTTACAATGAGATATAATCCATGTACTGAACTTTAACTACACTAATTTGTCAAACAACTTGGCAAAGACACTATCCACCATGATAGTGCGATAGTTTGTCACCAAATCCTTCTTTACTGATTTGTAAATAGTAACCATCTTTTGTAGATTCCAAATTGAAGGAAAACCATACATAGTAGCATTTTCTAACACTTTAGTGAGTATTGATCCAATACTATCTTCTCCCCACTTGAAAAGTTTGATATAAATACCATCCAAATCCTCACATTTACCACTTGCTAATTTTTTGAGTTAAGTCATCATCTCTGATTCAGAAAATAAGCTAGGTATTCCTTCACAACGTGGCATTAATGCAGCGTCAAAAAAGACAAAAAAGCTTGTTGAAAAAAAAATCAGAGACTTTGGTATCAAAAGTAGATTTAGAAGACTGCATTGCTAACCGTCTCCATAAAGATTTGAGATTCTCCATTAGCTCCTTTGTCAGGGACTCTTCCTTTCTACTAAAAAAAACTCATTTGTGAGACTTCACCGAGTCTGTGTCAAACCTTGTCAAGATAAACCAACTTTGGACTACTTTGGACAACTTTTCTACTACTTACTTAATAACTTACTACTACTTTGGACAACTTTTCATAGTATAGATGTGGAGAATTTATGATCTTTATTATAGTTAGTTTCTTTTGGTTTAGGTTTATTATTTTAGAGACATCATTAATTACCGTTCTAGTGCTCTTGGAACTTCTCACAATTCTCTCGTTACTATATCTTAACTGGATCACATATCTTAATCTGGCCTGGTCTGCTTACATACTAAGACGACAGCAGTCCACGCAATCACTGATTACCGAGATCCACAACTTGTTTGTTTACAATTTCAACAATTCGACCACTTCTGGCTAACCATAGTATAACTCGTTTCGCACACACATGTCTTTCCATGTATAATTCACGTTTTACACGAAAGCAAGGTGCCACGTGTACACCTAGAGCTCATAAGTGAAATGTCGCCTGCTCATCTTGGGTTTTGAACACTGTTCTGGCTCGCTTTGAAAGACAACCATAATAACTTGCCTCCTTCTCTCTTCAGTGCGGTCTGGGTACTATTAATGTCTCCGTGTTTCGAAGGATGTCAGCTATTCTTCCGTTTACTCGGAAAGACTTAATGAATATGGCAGAAAGGGTTGCAAGACGAGGAAGACACGCTCGCTTTGGTCTGAGTCTTCGTTCACATTTCCAGCATCATAAAACACACATTGGAGTAGGCTGACTTTACAAGAACGTCTAAGAGAATTTTAAAGTATCTAGATATCTCAGATTGAAGGAATGGTCGAGTTGAATGACCAGAAGACTTTGGTGAGTTAAGAAACAGAGACATTCTTTGTCTTTGGGACAACCGTCTCTGGGCTCCCACCTCCTGCCCTTCAAATGAAAGGCACAGTTTCTAGGTGACAGAAGGTGCAGAGGGCTAAATGTAAGGCACCAAGGAGAACCATTGTCAGGAGTCAGCGCAGTCTTTTACATTGTGTTCCAGACAAGCATTCGGAGGAATTAACAACATTCAGATTCATGGAAGATCGTCCGCTTCGTTGCTGAGAGAGTAATACATGTACATGACTTGGAATATACATCCCAAAAACAACCCGATCTTCTTGAAGTTTCATCGCGGAGATGTTCGAGAGCTTCAGAACTTTATACAATTCTGTACAACTGTATCTACATCTACAGAGCAAAGAGTCGCATTCCACATCGCTTTTCCGAAAACTCCCCTTCCCGGAAAACCTGTTGTCCTCGAACGAAGGTTGTGATTACTCTCCCAGATAATGTCCATCCAGCATAAGGTGTTGCCTGCACAAAACACATCGTAAGATGCTCCAACAGTTCTGACTTTCAAGACTTGTGCAATAAATGCAATATAAGTGCAATCAAAGTAAGGAGAATTGTTTTGCTTAAAGACGACGTCAAACCAATGTTCTTCTGATGAAGTCGTTTACTGGCTAGCAACATTCCAGCTGTAACATTCCGGAAGCAGAGAAGTTCAATCCTACTTACGACTGAAGGTTTCGGGAAACATAATGATAGTACATTTCACCTCGAGAGTGGACTGACACACTGAATTGTTACTCAAATGTAAGTTATTCATTTTTCCTGCAAGTCGGGCCAGATTTTACCAAGTGCCAGTTAATGAGATGTTACTAGAATTCACCTTATGCCTATGATAGATGGTATGATTCTCATCGATGACATATGATTCCTCTGGATCCCAAATCACCAAGTCTGCATCCTTACCGAATTGAATGGAACCCTACAGACAAACCAACTTCAGTGTCACAACCTTCACTTAATGAAACGTTTTCACAAAGAGGTAGTGATGAAGAACATCTTCAAAACCATCAGGCAAGTCATACAAGGTAGCGTATCTTCGAGTCAGCCAAGCATTGAATGAACTTCAAAATGCTTATCACAAAGTCCAACAGCTAGACAAATCTGAACATGGCACCTCGACATTTCCAGATGATGATTGGTCACTGACGCATTTGGGTTGTTGGAGACTTCTGAATATGGCCAAGCGAGAGCCTTCTGAACAAAAGGTGTAATAGAACCCACCTTTCTATCCAAGTTGGCCAATTTGGCAGGATTACTACTCCACCACCGAGACATTTGCTCCAGAGTGACACCGTGAGATCTGCCGGCTGTCCACGTCACGGGTAGCATAAACTGCAATACGGATCACAACAATCAATCGGCTGCGGCATTAAAATTGTAAACATGTGGAACATAAGCCACCAATACTTAGCCGTCCTATACCATCTAGCCGAGAACATAACTGTTATTTCTGTTGTTGAGCGCTCTTTGAATATAATTTGACCTAAATGTTTGTGTTTTCCAAGGTCATACCCAAGTGTGACTGCTCTATTTGCTCATGCCTGAAAATGCCTCCCATTACACTAAAGCAGAAACGCTTAACTTACTTCTCACTCTGTGCCAATTAATGCAACCCAATATAAAAGGCCATGAGCTCGTGAAAAGCAGAAGGAAAGGGGAATTCTCTACATAGACGAACCTGAAGGGAAGATATTCCTCCCCATGCCTTCAGGAAATCCCCTGACTCAAACTCTTTCATTTCTGGGGGAGCTGGTGAATGATCTGAGCTCAGCATGTCAATTGATCCGTCCTGTTTCATGCACGAATGTATAGCTCCTTGCGATGCATTAGTAAAGCTTGTGATCACTTATAAAGCTTCAAGATAACACAAGCATATACTCCCCGTCCACCTTCAGAAAGTGGAGGTGCAGGTCTAGTATCTAACAATCGAACAGTAGTAAGACTAATGAGAAGAAAGAGGGAGGCTCTGTGACCCTAACCTTCAGAGCTTCCCATAGTTTTTCACGGTTCACTGCATTTCGTACAGGTGGAGCACACTTAAAGCGAGTATCTCCTTCCCCTATCTCCTCCGAGGCAAAGGCTAGATAGTGTGGGCAAGTCTCGACAGAAACATGGAGACCTTCTTCCTTCGCTTTCTGACAAAATTTGACAAGAAACGATATCAAAAAAGCGACGCGCTGTAGTTATTTGAAGGTCCCTCAGATCTAGCCAGTCAACATGAAAAGTAGACAGCAAGAATTTAGGAGCCTTGACAACTTATTAAGCCTCCCATCTGAAGGAAGGTATGGTGGATCTCCTGCCCTACCCAACAAATATTAAGATAATGATAATGCAGTAAATGGACGACATACAAATCACAAAAATGCAAATTTTGCGAATTCGTCTTCCAAAAAATGCACATTTCTGAGAGCAGATCAGCGAAAACCTTGATGAACTGAAGTGTGTCCCCAGCATCAGAGAGGTGTACGACGTGCACATGAGCCCCTTCAGCTCGACCTCCAGTCTTCGTATCTTTTGCAACCTCCAGAAGTTGCCTTACTGCCTCTTGCTCCCTGTTTTGTCATATAAATTGAAGTCAACAACAGGGTTAGTTTTAAAGACTATAAATACTTCAAGTTCAAGACATGTAGGAGTTTCAGCAAGCAAAATACTGCACTAAAAAACAATAAGCAATGATGTTATAATCTACATGTATATTTAGTACAATGTCCTACCATGTGGGAGGTCTTGTGCTAAGGTAAGTAGAGTAAAGTCTTCGGGAATCTTGACTCAAACCTTCCACTCCATTTGCAAGGAGAGGGATATCCTCGAGAGGCTGTTCAACTTCTGCATGCACCAAAATCGGACGACCATATTTTGCCAGTACTGGTAGTGCATCCTACAAAAAATCCATCGGCCAATGAGTACTGGAGCTTTTTATAGAAATAACAATCAACAAAGCGCATATTGTTGTTGATGCGAATGTCAAACGTGCACTCCTTCAATATTATCGTAACAAACTTCAAACCTTAGTACTTTAGTACACTAGTCCAACCTGGATGTGACTTGCTGTGGTCATTGGAAAGTCATTGATACCTGAAGGACACATGAAAGACTACAAATAGCGAAGTCAGCATCAGTACCCTGTCCGATAGTCCTTTCAACTTCTTTGAGTTAAAAAACTCTTTTCCTTTGCACCATCCGAGCCTTGACTGCATCAAGTTTTTCTCAGCTCTTATACAAGTAAAGCATACCAGATCCCAGACTACTCAAAGAACAAATGCCCAGAGTAGCTTGTGTACTAGGTCTAATTCCATGATAACAGAAAGTCCAAGGTATATGAGAAAAAAATCACACCAGCAACAGATGCACAGCAATCACCCAGCATACCACATAAACAAGGACCAAGGCGATACATACTCATGAAAATTGTACCTCACGGAAAATCACAAGAAACATAAACAGATGACCAGATGGATTACCTTCAGACCTAAGGCACCAGAGCTAAGAAGCTCATCCAGGATTGTCAAGTTTGCGGCATTCTCTGGCACGAGACCTCCCCAGAAACCTGTAACCACAAAAAATTGAGTTTCTCATTCGAGTTTCCTTGGCTGGAACTGATGAAATTCATTGTATACATGCATTCCATGTGATTAGTAGTCAGCCTGAAGACGTATAAAACCTCGATGAGGTGAAACGGACTTCAGAGTTAGCCCACAACACATTAATAAACTGATACCAGTAATACACCTTGGTTGTATAGCTTTGAATCTATTATTGCACAATTCAGTGCAAACTGCTTACTATTCTAACAATACCAAACATAAGTAGAGAAGAAGTAGGACTCGTACCGACGTCAACAGAAATATTTCCCTTAGCTGCGTCTTTCTGTCCAAAGCAAATGTTTTAGTCGAATTACAAATCGAACGAAAGTTGTTTTACCGCTTGAGTTGAAAAAAAGGCAAAATCATAGATAAATACATATGATATGAACCGGATGTAGATTTAGCCAATGACAGATCTGCATCAAGTATACATTATTCACTAGCAGTGTTTCTGTTCACCATCATAGGTACGTTGTAGTATTGGAGGCTGTCTAGTTGCCCAGCCTTAGCTTACGCAAGCCCTGACACACTATTCAGATCTTATATTGTCGAACCTTCATCTTAAAATATTCCTTAGTCGTTGTCGACGGAAAATTATTCAACGGCATATCAACAAGAGTTGTTATCCCTCCTGTCAAACAAGGGCCACAAACGATCTTTTAAAACTTTCAACCCAACAAGAGAGAATGATTGGCCAGATTATAACCGGTAGTCTGCGATATGTTAAAGCCACATCCTTGCTTTCACAATCTCAACCAGCCTACGTCCATCACGGACGAACCAACAAGCTGAATCAGCGGCAGATTTTTGCGACACCAGGAATCTTTCTTCCAATGTAGTAGTAGTCAACTCAGCGACAACAGATGCATGTCAGATGCAGTTCATACTGGCAGAAAAGTACTCAGTTGTGTCAGGTCATGCGTACCGGCAGCTGCCGCCCTCGTACCCGTTTTGAATCCTTCCCACTCTGCCCTGCCTGGCTCATCAAGATGTACATGGCTGTGCAGTTCCAGAAAAGTTACGGCTGTTACTGGAATTCTGTCTTATATTTCACTATTATTTCATCTGACTGAAACTATCGCCCAATTGAAATCATGAATATCCACGGACTTGAAAATACGCCTGTATAACACTCAGATGCAATCTCAAGAGTCTCGCGTCGGTTCTGCGGCTCGGTTGAAAGCCATGAAACAATTATGAGGTAGGTTTGAACTAGGATCGGCATGATATCGTGAAGTAGCCGCTTTTGCTCAATTTGGTTCAGACTTTCAAGCCACGACTCAGTAGTTATCAATTCGTGGGCCTAGGTTAACTGAGATACGAAAACAAGCCCAATATAGCCCAATAAATCATGGTTAGACGTATCTCTGACCTTGTTAATACCTAGTGAGAAATTGTTTCTAGAAGAGATAATGCTCAATCAAGCATTGGGTTTCTTACAGCAACACTGCACGTTCATGATAATTTTGCAACTCACACATCAACCAAACCAGGCATGATAACGGCGTTTTCATAATTGAGCACGTGTACTTCTCCTTCTCCCTTCTTCGGTGCTTCACGTCTTCTAATTACAGATACAATTCGTCCTTCATTGACCTCAACTGCAACCAACAAGAGAAACACCGAAGCTTCCTATGATGTCTTTAGTTGAAGACCGATCTTCCAAAAGTTTATCATAGTTATTACTATCGTTATCTTAGTCTGTGCAAGTAACTGGCCATAATTCTGACGTGCATAACGAGAAGCGATAAGAGTAGCAAGAAAAGATAACACCAGCCGATCAGATAATACCTGAAGAAACTAAACTACCGAGTCCTCCACGCGTTACACTCTCAAGTGAATACAGCGGAATCCAAAATGATTGGCAACATGAACAAAAATTGTCGCATAAACTCTACAAAGTATATCTTTGCTTGATATGTCTTTGTAGAGTAGTACATGTTGTGTACCGATGGCGATACGGCTCACTTGTATGCGGAAACAGCTACTGAGGAACTCTACAAACAACACACTGAGCTACAAACCTGAGGCGGGATAAACTCCGTTTGGTGTAACAACGCGCCTGCTGTAGACGACGAAGTGATCATGGTTCAGGAGACTGCATCCCTCTCTAACCTGTAAGCCAGAAAGCATCATTCAACTCAGATAAACTCGAACCTACACAGCGAGATAACATCTATTCGACGATCTGCTCTTCAGTGATACAGCAGACCCAAAGTTAACATCGCATGACCGACTGAATCTACAGTCAGCTTTTAAATACTTGAACTCCGCTACTGTCCCTGAAAGTTGTCCGCGTCGAATTCAAACAAGAATCTGGATTCATGTCTAATGGAGAGAACAAACAACCCTTGAGAATCCAGAAGATAACTGCAATGGCAAAGTGTGGCTCCTGATAATCTCGAGCCTGCGCTTCTCGGCTTATTTCATCCGAAGAATATTATTAATACTACGGCAGCTCTAGTCGGACTGAAATTCACAACCATGCGGAACAACTCCAATTTACTTCAACAAAGAAAAGCCTAAGCCCAAACTCCTGACATGAATTGTGTCTTCAATCAAAATAGCTCTTTTGAATTTGATTACTGATTAAATCCTACACCATGAGCATGAGCAGAACCCATAACGCCGTAGCTCAACGCTCAAGCATCAAACTAAGATGACAGCAGTAACAAGGATGAGGATCAAGTATGCGTTGCTGGTGTCGGATATGGACGCTGCGTCTAACAACATCCAACAAAGGTTGCCAGCAATCGTTTCAACTATAACACAGGATACCGATCAACTCTGTACCAACTGAAACGAAGTCCAAATTTAGAAGATCCACGATTTTCAACAGTAATGATGAAAATCTTGCAGTGCAGCAGCCGCAAGAGTTATAACGTGGATTGGTCAGCGGATCCCTCGGGCCCCTTTGGACAATCGACGACAAGAATCCCGAGATCAAAACCCAGAAATTCAGCTTCATTCAGTGGACCCACCCGCAGAGAACAGTGCAGACAGCGAACAGGAGATGGAGTGTCACCTGATTGTCCATGCGGGGCATGCCCATGAGCACGTAGCCCACGGCAAAGATGAGCAGCGGCAAGCTCCACCCGCGCAGAATTGGCCGAAATATATCCGCAGGCTCCATGCTTCCTCCCCACCCCGGCAATCTGCGCAGGTCGACGTCCCTTCTGAACAATTCTCCGCACAACCCGAGCTCGAATCTGCTCCTGCGAGCACTTCTGCTCCACCAGCTTGCTTACTCCTTCCAATTCATCGATCTCTCAATGCGTCCCGTCGAACCGCACGGGCTCGGATCTCCCAATTGATCTCACGTACACGACCGATTTGAAGCTGTAGAAGGAACCACAGATGGTATCAATACTTGAGTCCCGACAAACAAGCTGGGCACTCTGTCCGACGAGCTGAAACCCATGGTGCACAACACCCTGCCAGCCCTCCGGGCTCCAACTGCCCCCCTAGATTCCGTCTCCATTTGTCTTGCTAAGCTTGCGCTCTGTGTCAAAGCTCCCGGAGACTTGGACCTCTGCCTCTCTGCTACAGGACAAGCGAAGGATCGAGCCCAGAATTGAGCTGGAATGCAGTTGTGAAGGGCTGATGGTCGCCTGATAAGATTAGTGGAGCATCCCCGAGGAGGAAAATTGTGTTGCCCTGCAATACCTCAAGGAGGCCCAATTTGGTCCAAGCTTCTTCCAAGGCTTACATAATGAATGGCCAAAAAACAACTACACTGCATGATTTTTCAATGTTTTTGCCCGAACAGGTGGGAACAGATTGTGCATCATTGAGATAGTCATTATTCAGACTGAGCCATCTGCTTCGAGGCTTCTGGTTCTTCCTTCTTCTGTAGATTTTTTCGTGGTCATGATGTTTCAACTCTTGTCGGAATATCTCGAGGAACCAGCGTCAAGGACACGTTCATAGTGATCCATCCATATGTAGCAAATATGCTCGGTTGCATTTAATGGTTCTAAATTATAGAAAACGTACTTATATCCTTATTTACATCTTTTACCCTGCAACTGTAAATTATCCATTTTGGCTACATAATGAATCAGAAGCTTTCTCATAAACATAATGATATGGTCTGTAATCATCCTGTGTCGTATAATTCCTTCTACCGCTCATGGCCTAGAGAGAATCTGATTACTTTTTCCAATATATTGTATTTACATTCCAACCTGTATTCCATTCTTCTTCCAATTTTTTCCTTGTAATAAATTATTGTTTTATATAGACAGTTATTGTTATAGATTCAAACGTTTGGATCCGTATAAGATGTGAAGAATGTACCCCACATCTCCAGCATTCTACATGGGACAGTGAATTACTCTTTCATTTCTGGACCTATTCTAGTTTTCCATTGATTCCGGAGAAGACAATCGGTGCATGATTTAGTTCAAAAGGTATGTCTTCCTGACTGTTGTACCAAGGCACCACTCATTTGGAGAGACTCAAGCTGTCTCAAAAAGCATGCAATTCACTTGTTCCCTTCTTCGCTATTTTGTTTAACTTCAGACCGGCGAGGAAAAACATGAGAAGAACCTCACGATATTGAGCCTAGAAACTGGCAAAGTGAACATTCGACATCTGTACATACTTAATACTACCGCGATTATCTGCTACGCTATATGAGACAAGTGGCAATGAGCAGGATCATATGAATCAGCAGTGGTGACTAAGTTCATGTCTTTAAAGTCTGCTTATTATCAATGTTGATGTCATACTGGACATAACTTGTCATATAAAGCTTTTTAAGAAACTGAAGTAACATTCAATCACAACTTCTGCATACAGACAACGTTCTCCACGTATGCTCCAACCCCAAAAGACACCAAACTAGTTTTGTGTATTGAGCTAAGTGAGCTATATCTGCTCTTATACAAGTGAGTACTCAGTTTCATATATAATGATGACTCTGCTTAACATATTGTGCGCATAAACACTGAATTCAAAGACATTCACGTAATTATAGAGCTTAGTGAGTTATATCCGCGATTTCCTCAACCAGAATCTACTTTATTTGACTTTGTGTCCTTTTTTGGAATCATGACGGCATAAAATATTAAAGTGAAGAAAAAGTCGGATAGTGTTATTTATCTTCACACTGCACACGCAAACTAGGTAATGCCACGTTGATTTGACTTCTACAGATTCTTCGGATGATTTTAAAAATTCACTAAAAAAAATCAGGTAACTTGAGTGTACAGAATTGAAGCACTCGCATGCTCACTCGTGCGGAGATGGCATAGACAAACAAGAAAAGGAGGACACCTTGCGTCACTCCGTATCAGCTGTGTCCAAGTATATTCGCAGATTGACCTTGTTAAATCTTCGTAATCCATAGGAGCGGTGAACTGCTTCAATGAAGCCTCACACGCAAAGTGAGGCCTGACTAAGTTAAGATTGTTGAACTTGCCATTCAAAACCCCAGCTCGTTTGCGGGTCCTTGAGATTCTGGTCCTCATTCGGAGAATTGTTACCTTACGTTGAGAAAAACATCTAGAAGTGATTCAGAACATTTGCATCCAGCCTTTTGAGAAAACAACTACCTCTTATCGCTCCTTTCATTCTACAACTAACATCCCAACACTATAATGGATCATACAGGTAGTACAGGCTGTACTCTAGATACATAACGAGCTCATATGTTCATAAATACTGAGATCGAATTGACAATACCCAATAGAATCCACAATCTGCATTGTACTGTTCCTAGCTAGATATTTCCACAGTTCGGTTCCACATAACAGATAATCCGAGACGACAGCAAGACCTCAAGCATTTGTTCCAGACAAGACGAGCAATGTGGAGGGTTTGAAGGCACAGTAGCCCATAGACAAAAACAGGTACCGGACGCAAGAAAGAAGGGAAAATCTCAGCTGGTCCGTCTCAGAGAACATGAAATAGCTTACAATTCATCGTGGTAAGAGTAGCTCCGCCCGTCTCAATGGGAGACGTCATGTGAAGAGCTAAAATTAAGTGTTACAGATAAACTTCGATGAGACCTATTCGCAGACGACGTCAGAGTACAAAAACACAGTTCTTCTTTCACAACTTTTTACATCCAACAGCTCTACATCGAAAACCTCAAACTGCTTGGCGCTGAAAAAGGTCGATGGTCCAACAGGGGGCCCGAGGTCCGGGGGAATGATGATCCTCCTCTTGCCGCCAGATCGCATGCTTTTGATACCTTCTTCGAAACCAGGAATCATGCCCTTGATACCAACTCGAGTGCGAGCGGGCTGACCTTGCTGGTAGCTGCTATCCACCCTGCGCCCTGATTCATTGTACCCGATGTAATGAAAGATTACCTGCTGCCCATCTTGTGGAGGTTCGCCTTGCCCTACGACTATGTCACAATATATCAACCCTGTCTTCGTGGTGACGTACTGATCATTCGTGACCACCTTAACGTCGAATCCTTCTCGGATGAATCCTGGGAATTCAGTCGGAGCGCCATTCAATTTTTGCATCCGTCGATTCTGCTGCAAAAGCCGGTCCTCGTCGAAAGGGCTGGCCGCTTCTTTGGCTTCTCTCCTGGTGGTGGCCGTCAAGGCCAGTGCTTCGCTACCTGGGGCCCCTAAACGTGAAGCTGCCAGCCCGAGAAGGCATGCTCCACAGAAGCTTCGCCTGCTTCGAACCCTCCCTTTCTCTACCTCGACCTCAACCTCGGCGGCCAGACGAGGGGAAGACTCTTCCGCAGAGCCCCATGCGAGGCTGTCTATCCGACGGGCTCCCCCTCCTTTGCTAGAGCTACAAGTGATGCGACCCCATTGGATGGGCGCTGTCAAGAAAGCAGAAAACAGAACAGGGGTCAGCCGAATTCATCTTCGACTCTCCTTCACAGAGAGACAAATTTGGACAACTGAGGCACGAGCACTCTAGATTTTCGGTGTAGGAAATGTGATAAAATCAGATACCGAAACAAGCTCCAAGTCTGATTTACCTTCTGCCTATTCAATCACTCCGCAACATCTCAACAACTCAATCCATGGAATGAATCCTAAGACAAATCATAAGACAGCTGAAGAGAGCGTCGAGTCAAAGCCGTGAGGCTTTGGCTCCAATGCGAGCTGAAATTCAACCTTGCAATTCATCTCCATCGGCTCTACGGAGAGAGACGACTCGACGTAATGAGCTCAAATTGAACCATCGAATAAAATAAAATAAAAGAGATAGCTCGATTGCACGAAGTGAAAAGACGCGATGCGAGGAATCAAGCTGAAGGGCACGGGACGTGACAGACCTGAAGCTGGTGCGAGTGACGAAGAGCTGGGCAGTGTCAGCCCAGTCAAGAAGCTCGAAGTCGGCATCGCTCGAGCTAAACAGGAGGCAGCATGTTCATGGCGGGCGCTGCTTCAGAAACCCGGATCGATTTGCGAATCCTCGTGAAATCGCCACTTTACCGAAGCTTCTGTTTTCTCTATCTTGTGCTACGGGCTGAATCACCAGTAACCGACACGTGGACGACCGTGGCGCAATTCGTTCCCCCGTGAATGTCCGTCCTACTGTCTCACCTTCCGTCTAGCAATGTCAGCTACATTCATCCACTAAGACAGTCTATATTATGCAAGTACTGTAAGCATCCCAGGAGTTCCTAAAATCCCACGATTGTGTGGAAATCTCTGTTTACTGACTTGGTCTAAACCCACAAGATGAAGAAGCAACTGTCTCGATGTAGATCGAAATGCTCAGAATTTTGAACACGATCTCTGGATTTTACTTTGGAAGGATGCAACTGAACGCAATATAAAAAATTTCACATCACCATGAATTGCGATTTTGCTAGTTCGCTAAATGTGTGTGTTCAATAATTATAATTCTGAACATACCAAGTCATTAAATCAGATCTAAAATTAGAAAAACCAGTGAATCTAATGCATTTATTATTATCATTCGTTTGAGAAACTCAGGAAAATTTGTCATAAACAAAATCGATTGGATTTGGGACCAACTATGAAGCTTAATATGCAATTAATTGGACAGTGAAAGATGTGGAGAATAAGGAGGGTACTTCGCTGTGATTCTATGGATTTCAATCATCAATTTGTGCTATGAACTCCATTGCTCCACAGGTGAACAAAACATTTCATAAATGACTAAACATGAATAATCAGATCCTCCCCTAGACCACTACACAATAATCAATGAAGCGTCAAAGTATACATTGATCTAATCTATAGCATTTATGTTAGCATTTATCTATAGCATTTAAGTTTGAACATGTAACATACATATAGCCATACAAGACATGTTCAAAAACATATTTGATTATCCAACCTGATGATAACAAGGTATCTAATGCAATCAAAAACAATTTGTATAGTATGTAATGTAAGACTAAAAGACCATCTCTTCTAGTGACATGCTGGATAAATTAAATGTTCAAAGAAATGAAGTGTATATATTACATGTTCATGAGTCATTAAAAGCTGTCAACCATCCATGTCTTTATGATTCTTGTGTAATTGTTCAAATCTCTTTCAGCGGTAGGGACTAAAAACAAATTATGTCAATAATATTAGAACACCCTTAAAAATTAGTTTTGTAATGTGCATACTAATGTTCTTGCAATATATGATGTGTTTGCCTTGCAATTTTTTTATCATATATAAATTTTCAGAAAAAAATATTTTTTTCTCAGTACAAAGATTATAAATTGCATAATTTTGCAAAGCAAAGAGTTTAGAACTAGAAAAATTATACTTGTCAAAATTTAATACTACCACAACCACATGTACATTGATTGTGTTCATTGAATCTTTAAATCAATTTAGATTACTTCATTTCTTAGAAACAATTGCATGGATAGGAAGAAAATTATTGGTGTTCGAATCACATTATTTGAATTATGTAAGTACATAGAAAAATTAACTCAAGACACACTCACACATATATAAATACTACCATTGCACCGCAGTAATGCCAACCTCAAATTTTTTGATGTGACAGGGAAAAAATCAATAATTGTGTATCTTAATTCAAAATCCATGCACATCGATAAAATCAAAAAGATATCAAGCTAAAAACAAGCAAATCCTCATTAACCTTGTCTACTTCACACCAACAAGCATATTTTGAAAACTATAAAATCAAGAAAAAAAATTCAATTCACAAAATATTATTTCTAAAATTTTTACCACAGATTTGCTACATGCCAAAGACTTAGAAATTTCAACAAATCAAATCTATTTTCTGTTCCAAAATATATTCAATGTACACAATGATTTATCACAACATGTGATATTGGTTGCCACACTTTATACCTAGTGAGGAAACTCTCTTTCTATACCTTATTCATGGGAATTCATCCAATAAATTAGGATGAATGAATATTGATTGTGAAACGTGTCTAAGTAAGAAGACTTCCTCTTGACTTGGCATTATTTCCACTTCAAGCTTTGTGAGTTAGTGTGTGGAGAGATACATTGTTTTAGCTGTAAAGACTCCTTGGCTTGTCATTTTTTCCAATGCAAGCTATGTGACTAACTGTGAGGAGAGATTTAGTGTGACGTGATGGTTGCATGTTCTTGAAATAAACCTTAAGTTTGTATTGCAATCTTACGTTCTTGAATTCTCTACTGATGGAGTCAAAAGTAGCTTGATTCATAGTATAGATTTAAAGAGAAAAATTTGAGCTCTTATAAATTTCTTGACTCTCTTCATACTCATTTAGCAAGATGAACTTAATTAATGTTTTTTTTTGTATGAAAATCAACCATTGTGCTAATATTCAATTTTTTGTGCTAATAAATCTGCTTTCACATCAACATCTTAATATTGTATGCAAGCAAGTAACTTTATATTGTCTACGAATTAATTTCCTTGATCTTTCAATGATTTATTTGATATTTTCAATTATAGGTTGATGTGTGTCATATGTGTATCTATTTCTTTGAAATTTCATTAATTTTTTTGATCTTTTGATTGATCAATCTTTCTGTCAATTTGTTTCATGGACTAGGATTTTGATTAACTTAACTTTGTATAGTTCATGTCTCTATTTTACTTTGACATCTCAAATGTTTTTTTATTAATACATTGATCTTTATGTCTATTTGTTTCATCAACCATGCTTTTGTTTATGAAACCCAAAGAAAACAAGGAAGGGCATAAAAACAAACAGTGATAAATTTGTAAAATGTTTAAATGAGATGATCGCAAATTTGTAAAGAAGAATAAAATGCTTGCTTATTAACATCACATCGAGATGCTTGAAGTTTTGACATATTGAAGCATTACAAGAAGAGTTCGATGCTTATGCTTGATCTGCATCAAATTATTGATGAATTGTTGATGTTGTTTGTGCTCAAAATTTGTCTGCCCGTGGATAAATAAGCCGCAGGTGGAAAAAACTCAAAAAGAGCTATACGCAAGTCAAAAACATAAGTGTGCGATGAGGACGGAGACCCATAAACCCTACCGCATTAGACGAGGATTGTTGGACCTACAATTGTATCACATGCTATTACATCTTCGGATTTGATAGTCATTTGTAAGCATTGTTTATTTGTCACCTTATTTCACTGGATCTCACCTAGTGAGATCTAGACTATAAAGAAGGTGAAATATTTGCAACAGAAAACGGTGATGAGTAGTACTTAATGAAGTTTTAGTTGTACTCCAAAAAAAGTAAGTTACTTGACATCTCACCATATCATATATTTTAGAGCAGATTGATGTGTCTAAGTGCACGACACTACTAAAGCGCTTGCAAAGTATGTTGAGTTTGTGGTTTACCACATACGTATTGGATTGAAGTTGTAAATATCGCAACGTACGTCGCCTAATAGCTCTATAAAGTTCAAGATACTCTTTGAATTGTGGTACAAACAGATCACTAATTATTATGTATTGAGTTTTTTTGATTATGATGCTTATGCTTTTGTTCTAAAGGATAATAAAATTAAACTTGATACTAAAGCCAAGAAATGTATCTTTATTGCTTATCAAAGAAGAGTAAAAAAAAAAAGTAAGATGTCAATGCTTGCAAACTCATTGTTTTGAGTTATGTTTCATTCAATGATTTTTAATCATTGAAGCTGATGCTCAAGATTAAAATAACAAAGAAAAGGTATATCTTTTCTTTCTAAAACTTTAGTTTCTAGTGAAAAGCAAGACTGAAATGTATGATTGAAGAAGGAGAGTGCTTCATGTCAATAAAATTTAGAAACTTGTTAATTTGCCTCAACACAAGAGAGTGTTGGATTGTAAATGAATTACAAAAAAAACAATGGATCCATGGATACAAAAAAAAATATTCAAGACTAAGTTGGTAGCCAATGGATTCACACAATGCAAATATATGGTTATAATTAAATTTTTGCACCTATCAATGCAAAACTTCATTGTAATCCAAAGTATTCTACATTACATTTGCTATGTGCCCTTGTGATTCTATATGCTTTGATGTTTGATTAATATATGTTATCACAACTTTTATCTATGAACTACTCAATGAAATGATATTTATATGATAGACGCAATGTTTTTTCATCAAAGTAAAGTAAGTCTTGATATGCAAGTTGCTTATATCCTTATATGCTTAAAAGCAAAGGTATACATACAATCAATCGTTTGTTTGCTTGTGGCCTATTTTTCAGCAAATTTAAATAGCATCTTTCTACTGGAATGGTAACAAGAGAAGAAGTGACCAAAGTATTATAGCAATAAGATGGAACACATTATACAATTTTAAACTTTGTTTTACTTTTTTATTCACTCAAGAAATTCCTGACTGAATAAAAGAAATAAAAGCTAAACTATATAACTCAACTAGATTAAGTAAAAGCCGAACACACGTTTCGAGAAAGCCTCTCGATTGAATAAAAAAAATAAAAGCTAAACTAAATAACAAAAATAAACTAAATAAAAGCCAAACACAAGTTTTGCGAATAACTTCCTGACTGAATAAAAGAAATATAAGCTAAACTAAATAACTAAATTAAATAAAAGCCAAACACAAGTTCTGACAATAGCTTACTCTCTGAATAAACGGTTCTAGCTTTTCAATCTCATCATCATCTCAATGTTTTCATCCGATAATTTAGATCTATGAGGATGAACAAATCCACCACTCTCTGAAAATGCCGATTCAGACGCCACAGAAGAACCTTGAATCATCAACATGTCCATGGTCATCATAAATAACGGCGGAAAACGATTGCTATGCTGTTTCCACCAAAGCAATACGTCGGACACACGATGATTCGCTTTTGCCGTGAGCATGAAGAAGTCATCGACCTCGTCAATGTCTGCAACGTTTTCAATGGCATTGTCTCCCTCTTCAGCAAATAGATCAAATACACCAAAAGTTGGAGATGGCTGCTACTCCGAACACGAGTCGTAATCCATCGTCAAAATGAATCAAGTCTGATCTTTGAGTTTTATCGTTTTAGAAGAAGTAGTATTGGATCTAGGATCAAGAAGCAAAGCCATTTTGAAGACTTGACAATCAAATTTGCATGATATTGAAGCAACTTGAGCTCCATGGCATTAACAGCTTGTTTGACTACATGGCCAGAGTAGCTTTGGCCTCGGCAGCTCTTGCTTTCGCCTCATTACTAGACTAGCTGCAAGAAATTTTGCTTGCTCAATGA